CAAAGGACATGACAAAGGACATGACAAAGGACATGACAAAGGACAGGACAAGGGACATGACAAAGACGGGAGAAGAAAGACCACACAATCTGACCCTCTTCACTTCTCCTTTGCAAGAGGACGATGTGAACCGTGTGAAAACCCAACAAGCGGACCCTGACCTGCCTGGGCGGACCGAACCGGATGTTTCTTTCTGTCTTCAGTCTGTCGCCTTTTGTCTGTCTCAGTGGGACAGATGAGCTGATTGAGGTGGGAAAGCAATGATGGCTGACCAACAGATGGGCGGCCATGATGAGTCAGCAAGGAGATGATGGAGGTGGAGATGAGACGAGAGGGCGAGAGACACACGTGACGAACCGAAGACAAACAGGAGGCGATTACAGACGAGCGAGAGCAGAGAAAAGAAAGACAAACAGATAAAAGATGGAGTGAAGCAGAAGACACGTGGAGGACAGGAGGGAGGAGGGTTGGTGGTCTTCATCTCCTTACCGTGGCATCCCCGGAGGCCCTACGGCGTTTGAGGTCGGAGGTCGAGGTGATGGACCTAAAAGAGGTTTTCAGTTTGGGCTCGGGCTCTGCTCTACCACTTTTCCTATCCTAAAATAAATCATACGATAGGTGCACACACACGTTAACACGCAGCAGAGACACTCGACTAGCTGCATGAGGACACACCTGAGTGTGTGCTGTCAGGTAGAGAGTGTGTGTGTGTCTGTTTGTGTGTGTGTGTCAGACACACTGATCAGCCACAACATTAGAACCACTAACAGTTCACCTGAGTAATAATTTAGCAGGAAGTCGAGTCGATGGAAAGTTTGAAGCTAAAGTGGCGTGATGAGGAGAGCAGCTGCAGGCGGAGGTGGGACTATCGTTCCTTCAGTATTTATGTGTCTCGTTGCTGTTTCTTGATTAGCGGCGTGTCGTCTAATCGAAGGTCAGCTGGTGGATTTAACAGGAAGCAGGTGAAGGTTGTTAAAGTGAACCTTTGTGTCTGAACCTTCATGACTGTGGCTCAATACAAGCACAGAGCGAGAGCACCTCCTGCTGTTCAGGGTGTTGGTCTCATTACTGCCCGTGAGGTTTTCAGGAGCACGGCCATTGGCCTTCTGTTGAGCTCTGTTTGTTTTACTTCTGTGATTTTCTTCTCTGGACCCTGAAAGATGATGTCTGCATAACCAGTGAAGGTGATCTAAAGGATGAACTGTGGTCGAGTCAGGGACAGGTCGTGGGTGCCTGAGGCCCACTGAGACCAGATCCCACAGAAGAGCTCCTGCAGAAAAAAGCATCGCAGCGCTCTGACTTCTTTCCAACATCGAACACTCGTACAGTGAGCTGTGTGACGGGTCACTGCCTGCCTACATGTTTGCAATGTCATTTCCTGAGGAGGAGACACTCGGCTGTAGCTGCTCTCTACCTTTGATAGGAACTCACTGGTTTGTCTCTACAGGTGTACTGGAGACTTCAGAAACAGAAAGGTGCTTGGTGACCTGAAACACAATCTGACCTCGTTGTTTTAGTCATCCCAGAGGCTTCAACTCTTATCAGCTGTTCCTATTTACCTGGTGATCACCTGAGGTGGTCGTTGGCCACCCTGTCATCAAGTGAACCACCTCAAGGTTCCAGTAAGGCTTCCACTGACTGGAAAAGCATCTTCTGACTTAGTTATAGGTGGCTGACCATCAGAGCTGTGAGTCACCACCTCATCTGTAGGGTAAAAAGAAGTCCAGGTGCCATTGAACGGCCTGGTGGTCAGAAGAGTCAAAGCTGGACCGTGGAGCGCCAGAAGAAGAGTGTCCAGTCTGATGAAGAGTGTTTTATTTCCCATCGTCAGGACACACTGGAAACCAACGCTGCATCAGCAGTTTGAGGAACATGACAAGGAGATCTGATCCACAGAGGCTCATCTCACATCCACCCAGAGTCACCTCCACCTTTTATTTTGGCGTCAACTATTAGAACAACCAGCTCACTGTGATATACCCACGACAATTTCCATGTTCAAGTTTTGATTGGTCTGACTGTGTCTTCAGCTCTTTATCTCTCTCCCTGTGTGTGTTGGGTAGGTCTCCTGAGGTACGCCGGTCACACGGGCCTCCCCGAGCCCCCCCGAGCCTCCCCAAGCCTCCCCGAGCCTCCCCGAGCCTCCCCGAGCCTCCCCGAGCCCCCCGTGCCTCCCCATGCCTCCCTGAGCCTCCCCGAGCCAGGGACTGGCAGCTGCAAGTATGAGATGGGTTTTATGGTTAAACACCCCGCCCACCACTGAGTATTTGTGTGCGTGTTATTGGTTAATTAATTCACGCCTGCGTGCAGCGTCCTGGCTCAGAGGATGGAGGCGATTGGGTGCTTCTAATGCTGCGGCTGACGGCTGTATCCCTGTTATGTGGTGTGTCAGTGCGGCTGTTCTCGGTGCCGCAGTGAAGCTCTCATTCAGTTCACTTTGATTTCTACAAAAACTGCCTCAGAGCGCTGCACAGAACCCAGAGCCTGAAGTCCCTACAGCTTCAGATGAAGTGATGCTTCAGTAAAACGGAGCAGCGCTGTCCTGTTTTACTGCCCACACAAACACACAGCAGCAGGGAGACACCAACGTGAGGCTCAAACACAGGAACACGACAGGAAATCAACCTCAAAGCAAAGGAAACATCGTGGGGGAGGCGTACGGGGCAGGGGAGGGGGGTGAGGCAGGGGGAACAAAGATGGCGTATGAGGCCCGAATGAAGCCGCGAACACGTGGGATCATTATACCAACACTCTGCTGTTATAATGCCATCTCTCCTGGGGAGGGCGGGGAACAGAAAACAGAACGGGGGAGGGGCGGCGGCACATGGCTGATGATCACATGGTGTCTGACCTCTAACATCGTATGAAGATACAAGTTTGACCTTTGACCCACCACAGTGACAGTTCAGGTGAGAGCTGGGCATCATTGGCGAGACGTTCTTGCTCTGTTCTTTTTAGTGCCAACAAACCGTACGAGGACGTAAACACGGGTCAAAGCTGAAACCGCACAATCGAGAACCCGTGATGTCATAGGTGGGGGCGGGGTTATTGTTACCAAACTCAGCGCCCACCAAAATGAAAAATCTAACTTAACTAAGAGAAACGAATTTTTATGCTACTGCAAATATCAAAGCAACACCTGAAATATTAATAAGTCCACTGCAGAGATGGGCTGTGACATTTTACTGTAATCACATTACTTTTTTCAAGTAGCTTGACCGACTCTGGTCCAGTATCACCTGACATGTACCTCTGCTCACATTTCAGCTTCTTCTTTCAGTGTCAACATTTCTCAGATGTACTGGGAAGCCTGAAGCAGAGAAACCACAGCTGACCAGTGTTTGGCAGCGAAACGTTAATGGTACGAAGTCAGTTACATGTTGTGTTGCAGGTTTGTTGATAAAAAGAAAAACAGAAGCTGAAAATCTGTTTGAATTTCACACCCAGCTCTCGTTTGGACTCTCAGAAACACGTTCAAAACAGAGAAACCAAAAAGCCAACACTAATCTGACACACAGGTTCAGCCAAAGGCCCAAACTGGGTGTCAGACTGGTTAAACTGGGCAGACTGGTCCCAGTGAGATGTTTCTGGGCCCAGTGACAGAACAGTGGAAGACTTGGATCGGAGCAGCAGTCAGTAACAGCACATGAAAAATAAAAAACACCATCATTACAGGTTTTCAGTCGTTGAGTAACAGCCATTAAGGATGCGATGAACACACTTCCTGCCTGGACTCTGCTGACTTTACGAAGACGTGCATGAAAATGAAACAGCAGCGAGTCTTGGAGCTACAAACCACATAAAGCAAAGAGATGCTCGCACTGAGTTTCATCCTACAAGAACTCAAATGTTCACAGTGTTTTCATTAAAGAGTGACGTCTTTCTGCAGGTGACGTGTGTCTGGATCCCCCAAATATAACTGTGACCACACTGTACAGATGTCACCGTTTCACAGCGTTCTCACGGATCAATAAAGTTCAGCTTTGGTGAGATTATTGTATCTGTGTCTGTCTGGTAGATTTCCCCTGAATGTTCTTTACTTTGGTATCTCTGTGTCTTATTTTGGTTTTACTTCCTCCTTCTGACCATCTGTCCTCATGTCTTCCACCACGTCTTCTAATAGTGTCGGGAGGACGTCTACGTGACCCACCCAAAGACATGGCCGCCATCGGCATGATCAGCAACTTTGGACAAACAGCTATTTAAGAAGCCCCCCCCCCATACAGGTCACCTTACAGATGTGAGTGTTCCAAGTATTCAGAATCAAGTTTGAGTCTCACACACGTTACAGGAGTGTCCTGGGGGAAACGAGAGCCCGTCAGTCGATCGTTACTTGGAGACACGAGTGTTAGCAGGTTTGCTGGACGGGAACCTATCAGACTGATCTGTCTGAGGCTAGCTGTCTGAACGTCCTGCCCCCTTGAAGTCTGCTCTCTTCTAATTGGTCGTTTTCTGGAAGCCTGCTGAAGGGCAGCAGCTTGTGAGCTGTGCAGCAATGGACTCGGTAAGTAAACCTGTAGACAGTGATCCATCATTATTTGAAACTTGGGCTCATGTGACGTGAATAATCACCTATTACATGTTAGCAAATACTCAAAACCACAACAGGTTTAAGGAATCTGTGGAAAATACAGGTGATTGTGTTTCCGAGCTCCTCCAGCTGCTAACACCTGTGCTAACTCTGGGCCTTCAGTCACAGCTGTGTGAAATGCTAATCATCCTCAGCTAACTGCTAGCCTGCAGCGGCTGCTGTTTGAAGTGCTAATCCCGGCACGGCAGCGAGGATTATTCATGTGACAGCTGAGCACAGCTGCTGGCAAGAAAACATCTGGAACAAAGGAGAGAGGGAGCAGATTTCTCCTGTTTTCTGATCGTGCAAATGTGGATCCAGTGTTCAGTCTTCAGTGTGATGAAGGATATATTTATGAGATCATTTTAATTTGTTAGCTACAGAAAAAATAAAGCAGCTTAGAGGAGGCCAAAATGAATGAATCGTGAGGAGGACAGCATTATTATTATGATATCAAAGCCTGGGCTGCATCATTGCCATTCCAGGACTAACTGTCAGTGTTGGGAAGGTTACTTTTAAAATGTACTCCACTACAGATTACAGATTACATGCCCCAAAATGTATTCTGTAACGTATTCCGTTACGTTACTCAATGAGAGTAAAGTATTTTGAATACTTTGGATTACTTAATCCAATAGCACACCACGTTATTATCACTGTGACTTACACTGTACATGTTTTGGCTCTCCAACATATTACTAGAGCCTTTACAGTAATCTGATTCCTGTGTTAATATTCATCACTTAATCCATTCTCCATGTGTGAAATTAGAAATATCCTGTCTCAGAGTGACACTGAAAAACTAGTTCATGCATTTATTACTTCCAGGCTGGACGACTGTAATTCATTATTATCAGGAAGTCCTAAAAACTCCCTGAAAAGCCTTCAGCTGATCCAAAATGCTGCAGCAAGAGTCCTGACAGGGACTAGAAAGAGAGAGCAGATTTCTCCTGTTTTGGCTTCCTGTTAAATCCAGAATTCAAAATCCTGCTCCTCACATACAAGGTCTTAAATAATCAGGCCCCATCTTATCTTAATGACCTTGTAGTACCATATCACCCAAGTTCCTCTCTCAGGTGAAGTGTCAGAGGAATGAACGAGTCAGAACCAACTCAGCCTGTCTGTGTTTTTTAATTGGTCTGTTTGCTGTGTGAGGCTTTGCAGCGCTCCCAGAAAACCCAAAGAAACCGTGAATGAACCAGCTGTATTACAGCTCAGGTCATGTGACTACAGGTGCACTGTGCACAGCCATATCTGTAGATTCCCGCCGCCCTTCGATCGCCCTCACAGAACCATTAAGTTTCATTTAAAGCTTAACTACAACAGCCATTTTAACAGCGTGCAATCGAGGAGACAGAGGTTGTCGGGAGCATTTCCACACCATCGCCAGACGAACTACATTAAACCAACTGTGCATGTTTGTACCGGATGTGCTGCAGTCCATCCTGCAGTGACTGCAGTAGTTGTGTGTGTGAGTCCCGCGTCCACACTAGCGTTCACAGAGTTGTGCGTCCACATTGAAACGGCCAAAAACGCTTCCGTTCCAGTACTGCACGTGCGTGAAACGCAAGAAGATTCGACCTGCCTCATTTCTGTCTGCCGTTTATTTACGTTCCGGCTCGTTGACACGTCGGCAAAATGTGGAGGAAAAGCACCGAGTTTTTTAAATGGACTCACAATGAGGTGGAGTCGTTGCTGCGAGTAACACAAAAGTACAAAGTTGCAAAAGTGAGTGAGAATTAAAGAATTTGAAGAAAAGCTCTCAGGAGCATGTACAGGCTGATGTTGATCTTTTTAGGGCTGTCAAACAAAACAACTGCTTTGTAACGCCCTCCGCTATCTCAGTTTAATAGGTCACATGACTGCATCACATGACTAAAATGCGTCATCATTTTAGAAAGTCTCCGTTTTCACTGTCCACACTGCGACGGGACAGCTCCATTTTGAAATGTATGCGTTTTCAAAACGCTGCGTTTTTCAGTGTCTCAGTGAGGACGGGAGGCCAAAACGTGTGGACGTAGCCTGTTTTTACTTGTTTGTGAAAACAGCTGCTGACCTCACACAGTCCACAAACTCATCACTACAGAAAGCAGCAGGTCAAAGTTCATATTTCTACACCCACTTCCTGCACGTTGTATTTAGAATGGGCAGCCAATCGGGGGAAAGTTGACTTAAAGGGGGAGGAGCTAGAACGGCTTGTCTCAGACAGAAGACGAGCTGCAGGGTGGCGTCAGATAAAGAAGGATTATTATGAACCGTGAATCATGCGAAGCTGCTCTGTGAGAGTCCAGGAATAAAACCACGGAGTCGACCAAGCTTTCCTCATTTCTGTGACTCATTAGTGGGCTGAATAATCCCAGACTAACCTCAGGCTAACCTCTGGCTAACCTCAGACTAACCCCAGACTAACCTCAGGCTAACCTCAGACTAACCTCAGGCTAACCCCAGACTAACCTCAGACTAACCCCAGACTAACCTCAGGCTAACCTCAGACTAACCCCAGACTAACCTCAGACTAACCTCAGACTAACCTCTGGCTAACCTCAGACTAACCTCAGACTAACCTCTGGCTAACCTCAGGCTAACCTCTGACTAACCTCAGGCTAACCTC